GAGAGACTGCCTACTGAATCTTTGTTCATCGAATCAACAGCCATCCAACACATGTAATAGGACTGACACAACACTTATACCAGAGATATGGAGAATATATCTACCAATAAAAAGATGAATAAGAGGTGACAAGACTATGAAATGCAGATAACGGAAGGACTGTGATTACATTGATATGATAATGAGCAATAGAGAATTGATACTTGAAACGTTATCAAGTGAATAATATTATATCATGTTAATGATGGATCGTGGCTAGCGCATCCTGGATTTCACTGCTAACCACAATGCACCATTAACATAATTAGAACACTGGCAATATCAAGGCATCCGCACAGGAGCCTATATGCCAATAGAGACCGATCAATTCGGTCCAATCAACGACGGTATCATATAGAAACAATTATAGCTAATAGCTTGAGGTAGGAAACCGGACAGCTTATCTCTCAAATTAAATACCACTTAGAAAATTAACGAGGTAGCACTTTAGTATTACACACAGTCAGTCAGCTAGTGTCAGCATAAAACAGAGAATGACTATGCAATGATCTATGTTGCCCCACCCTATATCAGCACATCAGGCAAGTATACAACGAGATGAACAACAGAGAATTGAGTAAGAAAGTAGCCAAAAATGATAGAAACTTATAAAAAGAGAACAACGAAAGAATGAGACAATAATGAAATTTGGTATAATGATTTAGATTAGATAATGTATAGGCCAATGAGATCCATTCTCAGCAGACTTCGGCTATCATGTGGACCGCAATCAGGAATTCTGTAATCCTCTCTACATGGCTGAGATCAATAATTAAAAACTTGATGAATTAATACGTTTTAATCTTTCTATATATAGCCTTACACACCTGTGACGAAACAGACGCTAACTGGGCATCTTGTTACACACGTCTCAGTGGTATGAGTTGGCAAAAGTTTGAAATCTCATCAATGCACTTCTACATTACTGAAGTGGTGATGACATCACCATACAACAAAGATGGAATACTTTAAGCTTCCCCTTAACAATCATGCTTTACAGTCACATACTGAAGACGAGAGTAAAGTGTAGCGTAGTACACTAGATACTAAAACAACAAACAGATATCATCATGGTGACGTTATAAATGGTGTAAGTATGTGAAAGCCAATCTAACCTTCTACATCCGTCAGTCACTAATATACCAGGGCTGGTCCCACTTCCATGGTAAGTTAAGTGATCAATTCATTCAACCATTTCACTGCTTATTGTTAGACAAGGGATCAATGAAGTTCAATCGTCCAACAGGAATTAAGATTTCTGCAATGAGAAACATATCCCTAACATTTTTAAATTACCAGTAAAAGTTTCCAGAAGGCTCTGTATCTTGTTACTATTTTTAATTAACAGGACTATGACATCTGTGTTCTTTACGTCTAGTAAAACAAAAATCCTTTTGACAAGATCAATTACTGTAAAGTCATAAAGGCAGAGGAAGACTCTCATATGCAAATCTACGATAATGCAGAACTGTGGTGCATTCATCTAGGCACAGAGCATGCAACAGAATCCAGCCCAATTTCAAACAAATAGCTTTAGGCGAACAGATAGCTCGCCTATGTGATACATAATGAAAAAGGGTTAGTCAGAAATTCTTTTGACTAACTAATTAATCGTTTCATTATTACGACAGTGTTGTCCTGTCGATAGACAATACTCGTACTTATATGCGTAGTCGGGATTTATATGACCTACTTCTAGCCAATAAGGTTCGATGATACTTTCGTACATATTAATTTTAAGGTCATTTGTTTGGTTGTGGCTAGCAAAGAAATCAAGGATGCACGTTTCGTCCTGTTTGAGATTCATCAGCCCATGTGACCACAAGCCAGTACGAAGCGGTGTTGTCTCACCGAGACTAGAACATTGCACCCATCGCTTCGAACACTAAGGCGTTATCACTATATTACGGAGGAACGATAGCCACTTTTTGTACAACGTGAATTAGTTAATACTATTCATTGATATACTTGTAATTCTCTGTTGTTTTATTCGATCAAATCATTCCACCTCTATTAGCATATGGGCTCCAATGAGGATGCCTTGATATTGCCTGATCGACGAAGAGGTTATCGTGCCTCTATAGCCTACTGGATACCGCCCTGGCGTTTGAAGTGACGGGTACGGGGTTCGAGTCCCGGCGGGAACATCATTCCGCACTGGGATGCAAGTACACCCAGCTGACGAGTCCAAAATGGAACGAAGTGTGTGTTCTGCATTCCATTGCTAGCTACAACCAAGTTAATTACCATAATTAGCATTCAGACACTATCGAGCTGTCCGCATCACATACAGGAGCCTATATACTAATAGACGTCGAACAACGCGACCCAGTGAAACAACAGAGAAATACAAGTACATGAACAAATAGTTATAATTAATACCTACTGTACAAGAGGTGGCTATTATGCCTCATTAGCCTAATGGATAACGCTTTGATATTAGTAATGATAGGGACGAGGTTCGAGTCCCGGTGTAAACAACATCACTCCACACTGAGGTCCAGGTACATCCAACTGATGAGCGGAAATTAGGTCGCAACGTGCATCCTTGATTCATCTGCTAGCCACAACCAACCAAATCATCATAGATTGAAAGTCAGAATCATTGGAAATGAGACTATATGCCCAATGTATATGTCATAAATAAACAAAGAATCAGACTAAACTATAACATACTTCAATTTCCCATATAGGATCGCTCGCTAATCTTTGTTTACGTTTCAACAAACTAGTCTTACTTTCAATGTTTATTGATTTATTGGCATTTTTTTGTTCAGGTGTTTTTCAAGGTGTCTTTTGAATTCAGTCTTCCCCCTATTTACTTATTTCATTACTTAGCTTATCTTAACTTATCCTCAAGGAAACTATTTGCTGTAAACAAAAAAGAACTTTTATTTTCCTGATTTACTAGAATCACTTTTATTTCTCTAGTCTATGATTCACTTTAGTTCAATAGACTGAACCAATCGTTAATGAGAATGTAATCACGGATATGGAACACCTGATTGAAATATAACCAATTGAGAATACGCTTGTAGTATCTTAGAGATATTCTCATAGTTATCAGCACCTTGCTATATATAACATGTCTGCTTATGTATTCATTGGTCATGGGAGTGCAATCAATTTCCTATTGTCTAGTCCTGAGTGTAGACCGAATTCTATCGATTATATTTACAATATGGCAACTAAGCCAGGAAGCTCACCATCGCAGTGAACATTAGTAGATGTTAGTCAGTTGGAGGCATTCGGCAGGAAATCCTAGACTTAAGTATCATGATTTTTAGCACTCGTCAATAAGACGCCTTGCTAACATTTCATTTCTTCGTCACACCATCTCGTCTATGTCATCCTTGGATGAAAAACTCATCGTTTCCTATTTCGCTTCAACTTGATGACCTAGTCTGATGCGTGATGTCTCCAAACGGTCTTCTCAGTGTATGTCCAATCCAATCCATCTTCACTCCCCTCTTCTGCATATTTATTAGGCGATGGATTGATGATTGGTTGGTTCGTTGCTAGAAACACTGTAGAAGCACTGACTTGACTGAATTAGTGTTGAAAATCCAGATCTTTGTGTGAGTGACTTTGTTATCCAAACATAACAGAAGAAGCGAATGAACAAGCTTCCTTTTGTACATACAGATCAGGATGCTAAAAGAGGCCTCAGGGATATGGAAAATATGGAGAAGTCGGACCTTCGGAAGCCTTACGGTTACCTTATCAATATCTTTGAAGACGGAGTCACTTGAAATAGAATGATAGTGACTTTGATAGACCAATTATCATCGCTTTGTAGCCATACAGGAAAGCTTTTCCGGATTCGTTCCAACTAGAAAACTCCTCATCTTATGTGCCTTGCTTTTCAGTCTCATTTTACTGATCGTTTTCAGTCAGCCGGTCAGTGTTGGTTTCCCTTCATCTTTACTTTTTTATCTTATTTGTCCCTTAAGTTCCTAGTGGAACATAGGGCTTCACTACCACGTCGCTATTTCACCCTCTTCTCTCCAGTCTGCTTAACCTGGCTCCAAGACTGCCAAAAAGCTTTCATTTCTTCCTCACACGATCCCCTCCATGTCATTCTCGGACGACCAACTAAACATTTCCCATTTGGGTTCCACTCAAGGGCTCGACTTGGCGTATGGTGTCCTCAATCCATCTCCATCTTCACTTTCTTCTTCTGCATATTTGTCGGGCAATAGGTTCTTGGTTGGTTGGTTTGTTGCCAGCTAGAGAGAGTTCCTCCTTGCTTGTTCCTTCTGGCCATCTGGTCTGATCTTCAGTATGAAGTGAGCGTAAGCGGCAGCTGTTTATGTATGTCAGTAGTTTGTTGGAAATACTTTTCGTAACACACCAAGTCCGTGAACTATCAGACAGAAACACTGACTTTACTGACTTAGTGTGCAGTGCAGTATATCTCCACACATTATCTCAGTTTAATGAAGGAAGATCTGTCATGCTGTCTTTCCGATCCTGGCTGGCTTTGACATCCTCATCTGTGCCTGTGCTTATGCCACCTGTAGTTGAGACGATACTGCCTAGGTTGGGTAGGTGACAGAGACAACTTCGTTTAGATTTCTCCCGTTGATGGGGATCGATGCTTGCTGTTTTTGTTGGTTGGGTATCTTCATCACCTGTGTCTTCTCTACGTTCACGTGAAGGAAGTTCCGTCTTCGCTACCTCGAATAGCCTCTTCTGCTAACTTGTCAATTTTCGCCTGTAGATCTTCGAGTTCACGCTACAAGACATTAGACATAAATCATCATCATCATCATCATCGGCAAAAATCTAAATCCTGTTTTAAAAAAAGATCGTATGCAATAGTAACGTAAAATAAACAAAGTTTACAAGTAAAATGAACAACCATGTTTTAGTAGAAGTAGGAGGAACATAAGTAGAAAACGATTAACATAACAATCAGAAAAGAAAAAAGAAAAACAACTTTGTAATATCTCACTTACACAGTTTGTGGACCATTCCCTGATGAAACGATGCCATTATCCAGTTTATCATTATTATTCTCAGTATTGTTTGTTGATGTTATAGTCGTTTGATGATAGTCAATTGGACTACTAATCATAGTGACATTTGTTAAAGTCACTGGTGAATTATGATCAATCAGTGTTCCACGCTTTTTATTTGTAATTGCTGTAAGCTCTGGTGAATATTCCTGTTAACAACGGTTAAAATTCAAGATACAATTTTATATATACATATATATATATATATATATATATATATATATATATATTGTATACATCATATTCATACACTTATCTAGGAAGCACTGTTTCAACTACAGGCAACACAGGCACAGACAAGGATGTCAAAGTCAGCCAGGATCGGAAAAGCAAGACAGGCGTTCATTAGCCTGAAACCAGTGTGGAGATCTGCTTCACTGCGCTCAGCATGTGGAACAAGATGCGGATTTTCAACACCAACGTCAAGTCAGTGCTTCTGTATGGTTCAGAGACTTGGCGCGTTACGAAAGGGATTTCCAACAAACTACAGAAATTCATCAACAACTGCTTACGCTGGCTCGCTACTGAAGATCAGATGGCCAGAATAGTAGGAATAAGCAACAAGGAGCTCTGGGAACGAACCAACCAAGAACCTATCACACAACAAATATGCAGGAAGAAGTGGAGATGGATTGGGCATGCACTGAGAAGGCCGACTGGGGACATCACGCATCAGGCCAGTTAATCGAGTGGAATCCCCATGAGAAGCTACGAGTTGGACGTCAGTGGCGAGGGTGACATGGAGGAAGTCGTGCGAGGAGGAAATGAGAGCTTGTGGGCTGTCGTGGAACCAGGTTCAAAAGATCTCAGAGAACAGAGTTCACTGGAGACGTGCTACTGAAGCCCTATGTTCCACTAGGAACTAAGGGAATAATAATAATAATAATAATAAAATACATCATATTCATCAACAACTGCCTACGCTGGCTCATTACTGAAGCTCAGATGGTCAAAATAATGAGAATCAGCAACAAGGAACTCTGGGAACGAACCAACAAAGCGAGAAGCTATCGCTCAACTAATATTAAGGAATTAAACAAAACTGGCACATCTTCAAGGTTGATTTTCATTCATCTTTAAAATATCGTATTTTGTATTGTTTCCCTAAAGGATATAACATATACGTGTAACTGATAGATAAATTTATATACAAGATCCCCCGACTTCAACCATCAAGTCGAGTAGTACAGTCAATTAAATCAAAAGTACGTGACTATAAATACATGATACATGATCTTGTTTAGTGTTTGACCAACACTGCCTTCCTAGAATACGCCATATTCCGTGGTCTCACCATGTGAATAACACACAAGTCACACACACACACACAGTTCTACAGAGAATAGATCAGTTGAGTCCGTTAACACGCTTGTCAACCTTCATCCACTCAGATGGCCGGTTGGTTGGTTGGTTGGCACATGTGTTACATCGCACACCTAGTCACCGTCTGTCTCATCACAAATGTTATGTTGGTTGGAGTAGGTACAGGCTGGCGAAATGCTGACAGTGGCCACACTGAAACATGGCAGGCATCAAGGCATAAAGTCGTTGACTGTTGGTTTCAGCCATGTGGGGTGACACAGACTAGTTAGCCGGTTGAGGTCTGTGAGACAAGAGAAATCAGTGGTTGGAGACTGACTCTAGGTGATATGGCTGACAACGGATGTCATTGGAGCAGATGTATACACACATTATCTAGCCTTATCTTAACGTTACACCGAGACTCACCATTTTCTCATTCCTCCTTTCTGTCTTTTAGTACTTCATGTTTCTTTTGACTGAATTTTGTCTTCTTCATCTCCCACCTCACTGCCTTTTTACTTGATGTAACTGGTATGAGGTGTGTGAAATGGGACCGTTACGCTGTAATGCCTAGTCCTATGTTGATTTGGATGGATGGATAAGACTTCATGGAAGCAAGATGTCTTCACCATCTACTCCATTCAATTCTGGTACTCTTGATAAATATGTACTCTATGAGAGGTGACTGGGTAGGCAATAAACGGTTGGGTGGCAAAGTATTTAATACGTCAGAAGTTCGACTGAATAACGAAGTATATTACCGTATTTTTGAGATGAATGGGGATTTTTTAATTTAGAAGTAGTATTCATCATAGACTGACATTAGTTGGAGAACCACTGCAAATCTGGGAGCACTGGACAGCTGTTTCGTCCAACTAGTACGGGACTCCTCAGCAGTACGCACTCACAACCCAGTACTCATTAGTGACTTGCTTCCAGATGGCTATCACGAAGCTCTAATAAAGAAGCCGTGACCTGTGGGGTCAACCAGTCAGAAGTGAAGTGGATGCTAACTGAAGACCTTGGGTGACAGTCGCGCTGTGTCATGAATTGACAGAAGTTGGAAACTGACCCAGTGGCTGAATGGTTAGCGCATTCGCCGTAAAACCTGAATGTTTTGAGTCGTGGGTGCGTACTACTAAGGAGTCCCATACTAGGACGAAACAGCTGTCCAATGCTCCCAGATTTCCAATGGTTCTCCAACTGATGTCAATCCATGGTGAATACTATTTCTAAATCATATTACTGAAATTTGCCAGACACTAAGGAATTATTCCAGAGACTAGTGACGACTATTAAAAAGAACCTTGTATACAGTTAATATCTGTTTCGTGTTAAACGAAGGACAAGTTATGGAGTTCTGCTAGTTTCATATGTAATTAACTAGTGAATCGTTCCTATGAAGACAGTGATATAGTGAGTATGGGTAGGTAACTTCATGACTGGAAAAAGGAAAGATAAAATCTATGAGAAGCTCTATTCTGTTGCATCCTAGTATTGATTGGACAAAATTGATCGGTCTCTATTGGCATATACACTGCCTCAATATTGCCTATCGTTTCAAATGCCAAAATGTTATCCACTATGTTGCCAAGTCATGATAGTCACTTCATATGCTCTGGAGTTTGAAGCGACCAGTCCCAGGTTCAAATGTTAATGGGAACAACATCACTCATTGAGAGGTAGGTACATCTAGCTGATAAGTTCGAAATAAAACAAAACGCTCGTCCTAGATTCTACTGCTAGTTAGACACCATCCATCATTACTATAGTTGATAGGGATCAAAGAATGAATAAGGCGAAAGTATTCAAAGTAATTTACCGTATCCCATCGAAGCTTTCCTATCCAGTTCGAATTTACTGTTTACATATAGATGAGACTATACGAATTTGAATGAACAATACAAAGGTTTGTATACAAAGAAAATTTGTGTAGCCTTTTACTTATATTTTTTTGATGACGAAAGACTTTATCAAGCAGCTTATCCTATTTATTGTTACTTTCACCATCTTTACAATATTCACATATAAACTTCATCTATTCACCGCTTTCATGCTACAGCATAACGCAACCTCATTCTTCTTTATTGACCTCTGAACTACTTTGCTTCTCTAAACATTTGTTTACATTGTTATACCATTTTCAATATATGTATTATTAGTAGCTATTAGTTCGAATCCTGCCTACACCCATAGTTTCATTTCACTTTTCAATAATCACACCCAGTAGCAACAATTCATATTTATTTACACCTTGTATTACCAACCCTGGATCCTTATTATTGTTGACTGACAAATTACCTTGACTAGTTCATGTTTTGTATACATCCTGGAAGTTGGAGGAGATCTGTTTTGGTGTTTATATTTCCCAATGTGAATATAAAATGTAAATTTGTTTCAACTGAGGTTTCACTATTTAGTGAGGCTAAATAGCTTCATCGAAGTTATAGGAAACCTGAATTTACATTATCCTCCACGCTTGTATATCATAACTTGACTAGTCTTCTTCTCCATCAATCATTCTGCGTTCTCAGAATTGTAGAATAAAGATGATATCCACTTGTAGTGTGTTGTGTATGAATTACAGATTGAGATTTGTATGTACACACATGTGCTGGTGATAGTTCATATCGCCTTGATGTATGTTGGTTATGTGAGTAAGTGGAAGTGGGTTGAGACCAAGTGAAATTAACTACCTTTTACTCTCTCATTCCTTCCTGTTTAGACACTTATGATTCCACTGTGTATATGAAGAGATTCTATTATGAGATATTCTTTATAATTTGTAAAGGTATAGTTGGTGTTTTCAAGTTTTTTTCAATTCCATTGGATTTCTAAAGCATCAAGCTGGGAATTTTTCAGTGTTCATTTCTACCTAATTTTGATTTCATAGGAAGTTTGTCCTATGTATATTCATTTGGAAAATGAAAAATAACATTTAATTAGATTGAAGAACTACTCTTAAATCATTGACCTCAACAATAGTTATCCCTTACAAATCATATACGTGGGGTGAAATTAGGAAAGTGATCAACAAAGACAATATCATCAGACAGAGTGTCCTACAGAACATCAAACACACATTGCAAAGCACCATAGTTCATTCGAAGGACGATATCCCTCTAGATTCACAATCTAATGGAGGAGATCATGTGAGGAGGAAATGAGAACTTGTGGGCTGTCGTGGAGTCAGGTTCAAAAGATTTCAGAGAACAGAGCGAACTGGAGACGTGCCACTGAAGCCCTATGTTCCATAAGGAACCCAAGGGACAAATAAATAAATAAGGTGCACATGAGTATTGAGTAACCTCGAGCTGTAGCTCATTGGTTTAGGGAAGTGACTTTCAACCAGTGGGCCGCAGGTTCGAGTTCCACTCCACCTGCTGAGGCTTGGGCAGTCAGGTGTGGTTCACTACCTACCACACAAATGTGCACAAGGTTGCTCAGTGCATTTCGTTTATGCATTTTCTATGCATGTCATCAGTAGTTTTATCATTCAATTTCGGGGGTTTATGGGAAATTTATTGACTCCAAGTTAGTATTCATCATGGACTGACATCAGTTGGAGAACCATTGGAAATCTGGGAGCACTGGATAGCTGTCTCGTCCGACTAGTATGGGACTCCTTAGCAGTAAGCACCCCTGACCTCAACTCTGTCAGGGATCGGTCTCAGGACCTTCAGGTTCCGTAACCCGCCGGTTACTATCGAGCCACTGGGTCTGGATCCAGTTGCAATAAGAAGCCGTAACTGATGGGGTTAACCTGGTAGACGATGATATTGGGTGATGTTTGCGCTATGTCGTGAACTGACGGAGGTCGGAAATAGGAACCAGTGGACCCAGATCC